AAATATTTTTTATTCCTTGGGAAACCAACAAATTGCATCTGATTTCAGATAATTCAAGGTTAATGGTGATGTCAGCAAAACCAAATTTACATCTTTGTTAATAAATATGTTTTTTTCCCTTATTATTTTCTTTTAAGTTAACAAAATAAATATAAATAATAATTCAATAACCACTATCTTATTCTTCATATATATATATATATATTAATTATGGTGTTGAAGAAAGATAAGGTAAATAGGGGGCCAAAAAAAGCTTGCACTCCAAAGTACTGACTCAGAGGTACTATAGTATTATAATATCAAAATAGGATAAACAGAATACATATAAATATAGAAATTTAGAAAACTAAGTATATTCTGCTAAAAGTGGTCATTGTATCTCGTCCTGTTTTATATGAAACCATAGTGACGTACATGTGTATACAACACATATAAAATACATTGTTTGTTTACATGAAATTCAAATACATGCTGCGTGACGATCATTGCCCTATAACAGCTTTTTTTGAAATATCATGGTGAGTTTATCAAACGAATCCTAGTTGAAATATTATGCCATATTTTAACACTAGAATAAAGAAATTAATAACTGATATTATTATACATCTGTCACCGTAACGCCATAAGTTATAGCGTGCCGTAATTTTGCTGTATTTTACTGGGTATTTTCATCCTACCATATAAGGAAATGCGATTTCCAAATACAAAATGTATTGAATGATTACATGCATAAGTATGCACTCATACAGTACACTGTCATATCGACCTCCACTGCGCGTCGGCCGATACTGCCGCTGTACTGTCTTCGTGCATACATTGAGGTATCTTCCTAGTAATCTAATATTATTTAACTGACAAGTGTAGAATAATTTGTTGTGATTTGTGATAATATATAGAATACTTTTCTGACAAGTAAGATAAGAAATCTAAGGGTGTGATGTACTCTAATCTGAATCCCACACTAAGTTATCATAACATACCTTGGATCTTCCTCAAAAAGATACTGAGTACCTTGTCCATGGTGTATATCCCAGTCAACTATCAGCACTCTAGTAAGACATACACAGTAATGATTTCACATGATTTAAAAATGAAGTCAAATTATGTTACTGACTAGTATGGTAATAAGTCATGTAACATACATGTACACTGACAGCATAATGTACCATACAAATAGCTAGTGAAAGAAAGTCAATAAAAACAAATCATTTCTAGTTATCTACTGGTGCTGTTCAGATACGCATAGTATTAACATCCTAACATTCCAACCAATATGAGCTCATTTTGTAGGTCATTTTGGGTCAATAGCACATGGAATAACCAGTATGAACAAAATACACAAAAAACTCAGCTCATACAAACAATTTTACCAAACATACCAGGGTGTATTATGCTATATCTCAACTTTTAGACATAAAATGATATATATTAATAACATGTCCTGCATTTTTAAAATTTTGACTATATACATATTAAATTTCATTCTGATTCTTACCTATTTGCATTACAATGGTATCTAGCATGATAGGCAGCCAATGCAACATTATTAAAATATGAATAACCACAAGCAATATCACGCTGGGCATGATGACCTGGAGGTCTGAAAAAATATGCATAAATTAAATGTACATCATACAAGGCAATATTACATAAGATGAGAACCTTGAGGACTACCGTCAATAAATAATGATCTGGAGGACTAAACAAATAATGACCTGGAGGACTAAACAAATAATGACCTGGAGGACTTAAAGAAATAATCAAAGAAAGCTTAGAAAGAACTC